TATGGCGTGTGACCTTGGCGCCGTTACAGACCTTGTCGTTCCAGAGATCGCGTCTTCTTCTTCTTTACAATGACGCTGTTCTGTCTGGGCGACCGAAAACGAGGCGGAGGAGGATGAGGATGAGGAACGCAATACAGGCTTCGCATCTAAAAGCTAACTGCAGCTACTGAAAAGGCGTTAATATCCGACCGATCACACTGAGGTTGCTATTGCTGCCTTTGATGAGGTCCCTTTACACATTTCACCTCACCCAAAGACGTACGATGCCGGAGTGAAGGCCTACTCGTGTCATATTTCGCCCGCAATTATTTACTTGAAAACCAAAGACAAGCCAGGTCACGTGATATGGTGTTTAATTGGTTGCCACAACCCCGAGGAGTACAAAAAATCCATCTTTTCGCAAAGTACTTACACCCAGCACCACCCTCTCGTAATGACTAGCGTATTATCAGAGCCAAGAATACAACGCAGTTTGGCTACTTAGGTCTCATGGGCAATTGACCGACCACGTAGTCTCGAGGTAGATCGCCAAGATGTGTTGGTTGACGGAGGAGAATGACTCCTCGATCTTCATTTTACGGATAAAACTGTGAATTCACTAATGAAACAGCCTCAAAAAGAAAAAGTCATCGTATCTGGGCGGCCGTTTGTCAGAAATTTTAGTTCCTGACCAGTACATTGTCTCCTCTTTGTGTGTCGACCCTCGAAAAATGTGATTTTCTTAACCACATAAAACTTTCAGTATTTCGGTCACAGAGCCCCTTGGATCGAAGGGATGACAGTATAACTCACTCTAAAGTGACGAAGTAATTATATGGACCACGCTTGTCTAGGAGAACAAACTCTGCGAAAGTCGTTTTGATAAAAATGGTCATGCCGTTGCACGGTCTCGTCCATCAGGCAGTGCTGGTAACTGCGGGATTTAGAGCAGATGCGATGATCTCTTGCCTGCGCCATGCGATTTAAAAGCTATTTTGAACACTGCACAGTGAGTTTATTCACACACCTCAAAACAGACTAGAATTCGATCGACCGGGACTTAAATACTGTTCTGTCTGGGCAGATGGGCACTGTCTTTTTAACGAAAACATTGATCTTGCGCTTATTTGAAAATTTGCCGCTTACTGTCGTTGGACGTCCGTACTTTGCTGATTCCCCTCCGTTTCGTCCTCATGCATAGCTTAGCATGCGAGGTCATTACAAGTGCATTGATGTTCGGGTTTCAATTCTGCGCCTCGGCTAATCATAACAGAAGATGGTGTAATGCCCTTTCGGCACGTCATGACCGGTGATCGATCTTGCGAAATGTGTCTGTGCTCCGACGTCGTCGCATCTCTCAATCTACTAGGTGCTTGCCTTTTCAGCGCCCTACACTCCGTCCTCTCTGTGTGTTTGTGTGCGTCTATGTATAATTGCGCTGTTGCAATGTCCTATAGCCTAACTGCTGGCTACCTGGCGCGTCCACTGGTGGTGGATAATAGAACGACTCTCAGGGAAGGATAGCCGCAAAATAAGCAGGCTCCTGGGTCTGGCGAACAAGCAGTCGCGGACGCAGCAGCAACAGTGTTGCCAGGGCGCGGAGGGCTGAGGTCTAGCGCAACGACTGCCTTATAAAGTGCCGCAAGTCCCAATGACGGTACTGTGACATGGCGAGCGTGAACCGCCATTAAATAGGTTTGCTTGCAACTACTGCCTTGTGTTTAGGTTATTGAGCCAAAGTGCTAGAGCAGAAAACCTTTGAACAAAGAATCCGAGGGGATGTTGGGCGCCCGTCTGTATTAAAAATCCCCAAGACTCCTCATGCAACTTGAGGCCGGCTAGATCAGACCGTATCAAGTACAAGTACAATATCCTATTGATGAACTACTC